TTCCACTTGAGCCACATCCCCAGCTTCAAGTTAGTTTTAGTAGCCATTATAGTTGATATCAACTGGTACCTCACTGTGATTTTGATTTGGTTTGATAACCCTTACTTTTGAGTTCATGTTACTGTTTTGAATATGAGTGAAAAAATGGAGGAAAAAGAAAACCTTGGTTTTGATGAGCTTATTATAAAATTATATTTTGAAGAAATAAAGTTCTTACAATTAAATGAGGTTCCAAATCTGAGGATTATTAAGCCATTATTTCTATTCAGGTATTTCATTTTTTTTTATGTTGAAGCTGATATCTTTTTAAAAAATTTTATTTTATTGTAAAGATGTTGTACAGAGGGGTTACAGTTACATGAGTAACTGTAACGAGTACATCTCTTCTCAATAATTGTTACTCTATACTTTGTTGTTCTCCCACTATTCCTTCCACCCCCTTCTCCCATTTCATTGGTTTTATGACTGAGACCTTTCTATTCCCATTTCTCCATCACCTGGTTGGATTATGGCTGTCATTTGTGCCCTTTAAAACAGTGGTTCTCAGTGTGTGGCCCCAGGGGCCAGCAGCATCAGCAGGGCCTGGGAGCTTGTTAAAAATGAAAATCTCAGGTTTCATCCCAGATATGAGAATTTTTTTTTTGGTGGTAGCTTCAGTGTTCTGGGTTTTAATAAGCTTTTAAAGTAAGTTGGATACACACTTGAGTTTGAAAAACACTCGTCTCACCCAGCATTTTCAGGTTGATTTGTTGAAGAACCCTGGGTTGGTGGGGGTTGGGGTGGCTTTGCTAACATCAAAAATTTTTAACTTAAATAGGCAGAAAATATAACAACTTGGAATCATTTTAATAGCTTCCTACTTAAGAAAAATCTATGTATCCTATCTTTTTACTTAGAAATTGCTGTTCAGACTAAATCATGTAAAAAATAACTTTTTAAAAAAAAGTTACTTTGTATCTTTGGTCAAGTATTTAAAGAATTTCAGAGTTGCATGTCATTTGAGATATGCTTTTCCTTTTATGATTTTTCTTGTTTACTTCCTCTGAGTATCCATGTGAAGGTTATAATGTGAAGCCCTGGGTAGCAGGACATATGCCCACTACTGCCTTTAGTATTAACATTGACTAGAGATACATGTTTATTTGTCTACATGTATATTTGACTACAAATAGTATTTTTTTTCTCCTATTATGGGCACTTCAATTACAGATAATTACATTTATTTTAACTTTGCAAAACTTTATGAGGATTTAGGTAATAAGTTTATATCTGTTAAAGCATACCTGGTATATGCTAAACACTTGGTAAAATGTTTCATAATATTAGAGTAATGACCATATATAAAAACTGACTTTTTTTGGACATAGAATATTGAAAAGTAGTCTATCTGAGTTCCCAAACCAACAGCATAAACAATGTATTCTTCCAAAGGTGGTGAGTCCCTCTCATATCTTGGCTTTCAAGAGTGTATTCATGAATTAACCTCAGATTTAGGTGGCAGAAGAGAGTTGTTTTGTTTTTGTTTTGGTTGGTAATGGGGGTTGAACTCAGGCTGGGGCACTGTCCCTGAGCTCTTTTGTGCAAGGCTAATGCTCTACCATTTTGAGGGAGAGCTTCACTTCTGGTTTTCTGTTGGTTAATTGGAGATAAGGGTCTCCTGGACTTTCCTGCATGGTCTGGCTTTGACTCGCAATCCTCAGATCTCAGCCTCCTGAGTTGCTGGGATTACTATGAGCCACCAGTGTCCAGCTAGGAGGGTTTTTTTTGACAAGCCTCCTAAGATGCTCCAGATTGCAAACCTCCTGGCCAGAAGGAGCAAATGGTTGGGAAGTAAATGTCCAAAATAGGGCAGAGGGATAGTGGAAAGGGTTTCTTCCCTCCTCACCCCTTCAGTTCCTTCCCTTACCCCTGCCCCTTCCCCTTCTCTTCCCCCTCCTCCCCCAAGAATGGAAGGCTATTGTAAGGTCCCTCCTGGATGGCGAGCAGACTCCACCCTCCTCTCTGCAAAGTCTCCACCCAGTACCTGCATTACCTAGGCAGCTGGCACATCTGAATTTGATGTGGCCACACCTTTCTCCGCCCATACCCTAGATAAGGCCTAGCCCAGGCCCAGATGCCCTCTTTTCCCAGCTCTCTCTCTTTCCCAGGTCTCTTAGGTCTTTCCCAGGCCTTTCCCAACCGCATGGAGGGCCAAGATGGCCTGGTGCCAGCCAGAACGATGAATAAACCTACCCCTTACCTGAATACCACGTGTGTGGTACTGTTCTTACTCAGCTACCTCTTTTTAAAAGCCTAACAGCTATGAATATATTCATAAGCTGAGGGTGAAAACAAGTGAAGTAGTGTATAACAGTAGTGTTTCCCATTACCAGGATAGCAGGATTTTTGTTAGACATCCTTGATTTTGTTTGTTAGGTATCTGAGCTTGTTGGTCTGTTAATAATTTATTTACGCAATAAGAATTCATAAATATGTATTTAATACTGTTATTTGTTGATAGGGTACAGAAGAAATTATGCTATCCAGACCCAGAAAATAAAGCATTAAAATTCACTTTTGAAGCAAAGCTGCAAAGAAATTTTTACATTAAAAATTCCAAGAATGAGAACATTTGAGTTACTCACTGTGTTCATAATTACATTTATATTTACAAATATAGTTTTTCTTTCTTTCTTTTTTTTTTGTCTTTTCTTTTTCAGTACTGAGGATTGAACCAGGACATTCCACTTGCTAGGCAAGTGCTTTGCCACCAAGCTACATCCAAGTCCTAGTTGTTTTTTTTTTCTTGTAACAATGACAAATGCTTATTATCTATTGTTCAATACATAGGCAAAACCAAATTATTTTCAAATATAATAAAGTTATCATAACTTAAAATCATAAAGCTTATAGAACTTCTTCCGGGAATTAAAAATGGATCTTTAAACAAAAATCAATCTCAATCTCAGGCTTTCAGCAAGTTAAATTGGTGCCAGGTAAAACTTATATAGAATCTCTTTTATTGTTTAAATATACTTTTTTCATCTCTTCATCTGTAATATTTCTTTAGGCTGTGAATGCTTTTTTACGGCTTTGATATATGGAGTGAGGGAAAGAGAATCCTCAAACAGAATCTTGTGTAGGGACACCTACACAGTTAAGAGGTTCACAGTGTGCCCGTGGCAGAGCTGGTAGCCTCATTATAGCATCTGTTTGCTAAACTGGTTTGGGAGGTCTGTGTTCTCATAGTTACCTCCAGGAGAGTTCGTGCTACAGGAGATCTGGTAGAAAAGGGAACTAGCCCTTCCTTTAGTCCATGGTTTTACAGTATCCTTAAATTGCTGTTACAGGCCAGGAATTCTGGGAATTCTTTTCATGTTAAGTTTTCCCAGCATTCATCAGGGTAGATGACACACTTTGTTATTCTGATGAGTGGAAATGACCATATTTCACATGAAAGCTGTGTGATCTTTAGTATTCATTAGTATGGACGAAACGGATTTCATAAGTTCTCATATATAAGAGCTGGTTCTGTGAAATCATACGAAGTCAGAAGCAATGTTGACTGATGTGGTCACCCTACAAGACACGGTTACTCTATAATGTTAACCTACCATAGTTGCTCCAACAAAAGCAAAAATGAATAGTATGAGGGAAGAAGTCAATCTAGTTAAGTCTGAGGACCTGTACTCTGTTAGGAAGCCATGTAATTCACCATTAATTTTAAAAAAAAGGTATTAAAATGGAATTAGTCTTAAAGAGAGAGGAAGTATTCTTAAGAGAAAATATAAGGCAATCTGAAGAGATGGGATCATTAAATGAATACTTCATATGTTTGATCCCATTAAAAACTGTGTTGAGCCAGAGCTCTGTGGCTCACACCTGTAACTTAGCTACTCAAGAGATCAGAGGAAGCTAGCTTAGGTAGGAAAGTCCATGAGACCCTTATTTCCAGTTAACCAGCAAAAGCCAGAAGTGGAGCAGTGGCTCAAGTCCTAGAGTACCAGCCTTGAGTGAAAAAGTTAAAGGATAGCTCTCAGGCCCTGATTTCAAGTCCATCCCTCCCCCTGGACCCCCCAATTTCAAGCCCCAACACACACACACACACACACACACACACACACACACACACACACACACACACACACACACACACACACACACACACACACACACACACACACACACACACACACACACACACACACACACACACACAGTTGTGTTCAAGTGACTGTTACTATAAGATATTAACAAAATTTTTTGTGGGGCTGGGAAGGTGGCTCAGTGGTAGAGTGCTTGCTTTGCATGTTTGAGGCCCTGGGTTCAATTCCTCAGCACTACATAAGCAGAAAAAGCTGGAAGTGGCACTGTGGCTCAAGTGGTAGAGTGCCAGCCTTGAGCTGAAGGGCCCAGGTTCAGGCCCATGACCGACCCCCCCCCCCCAAAAAAAAAATATATTTTGTATATATACTTTTATTGTAAAGATACTGTACAGAGGGGTTACAGTTATATAAGTAAGGTAATGAGTACATTTCCTATTAAGCATTGTTACCTCCTTCTTTGTTTTGATAATTACACATTTTAACACATTTGTCCTTTCTCTCAAAGGAGAGGTTAGTTAATTTGTGGCAGAGGTACTGGTATCAGTATTTCAATCCTGGGACAAATTTTTATTTTGTGGGAAATCTATTTAGCTTCCAAGTTAGAGCCAGACTCCAGGCTTCCTTACTCTCATCTTGGGGTTCTACTTATTGTAGAGACTTACAGTTCCAGTTTCAAGCAGTAAACGCTCATGATGACACATGATGACACACTTCTTTTTTTGTATATTTATTTCTGTAGTTAATCCTTTATCTTTTCTTTAATATTTCAATACAATAATGCATTCTCTGGAAACAATCAAGAACAGAAAGGAAATACAAAAACAGAATGAAATACAATTTTAGTACACTAAAATTGCATTTAGGTACTAAATTTGAATGTATGTGGTTTAGTGTCTTTCTTGTGGTTTGTTTTAGGTTAACGAAGCCCTTGTCATTTGCCGATTGTGTTGGGGATGAGCTACCGTGGGGATGGGAAGCAGGCTTTGACCCCCAGATTGGTGTCTACTACATCGATCACATCAACAGTAAGTTTTTCCTTTGGGGAAAAAACAAATGTATTTTTAAAAATCTCCAAAAATCTATACTCACGTAAGCGGTAACATTTTACAAAGTGAATTTCCATATTTGAATAACTAATACATGGCTGAAATGTCCATTTGGCTATTTGGGCATGTATGAGGAGTTGTGGGGTAAAGAGGGAAGAGAGGATGTCTGTACTGACTGTCTGTCTGCCAATCAGGCAGAGAATGAATGTTCTACTCTAATGCGGGTCTAGGGGCCTATGCAAACCTATAGCCATTAGGTTTTTCTTCCTATGACCCCTGCACCTTTAGACCAGAGAACCACTTGTACTTACCCCAAAACTTTGGGCTCAGGTAATCAGCTGGTGTGGTTTGGGTATCTGGAGGGGTTTTTACTCATCAGTGACTGAAGGACAGCATGGGCTTGGAAAAGACCAAAACTCTTTTCTTTTTTCTTTTTTTTTTTTTGTCGGTCATGGGGCTTGAACTCTGGGCCTGGGCGTTGTCCCTCAGCTCTTCAACTCAAGGCGAGCGCTCTACCACTTGAGCTACAGCGCCACTCAAAACTCTTTTCTTCTTTTTTGTTTTCTGGTCTTTTCTGGCTTGAAAGCTGAAAAGCTTGGTTTTTTAATCTGTCCTAGTAAGGCTAGAACAGAGAATTAGAATTGTTCCTGTCCATGATTAATGTTTAAAAACAACATACTTGAAGTTTAAAAGTACAGACTTGACGTGTGTGTGTGTGTGTGTGTGTGTGTGTGTGTGTGTGTGTGTGTGTGTGTGTGTGTGTGTTTATATGAATGTCTTTCTCATCAGGCCCTTTAAAATTTATTGAGATTACAGTTTAATAATTTTACTTTTATAGATTTTAGTTAATGCATAATAAATTTATTTCTTGTTATCCTATTTGGGTCTATTTTTTCATCAAAAATTAGACTAATAATATTCTTCAATATCTTTAGGAAGTATTTATAAAAGTATTTTATACTTATTTATGTACTTATCACAATTTACTCAACATTTTGTAATACTCATTAATATTTATTTAATACTTCATTAGTGATGGCTGTCCTTGTTTAGGTATATGATAGATTTTTGGAGAGGCCTTAAAAAAAGCAAAATTGCTGGGTACCAGTGGCTCACACCTGTACTCCTAGCTACTTAGGAGGCTGAGAAATAAGGATTGCAGTTCAAAGCCAGCTAGAGCAGGAAAGTCCATGAGACTCATCTCCAATGAACTACCAAAAGACTGGGAGTAAGAGCTGTGGCTAGAGTGCTAGCCTTGAATACAAAAGCTTAGGGACAGCATCCAGACCCTGAGTTCAAGCCCCAGAACTGGGGATTTCTTTCAGATGAGTGGAGGTAGGGTGGAAAGGAGAAGCACTCTGAGGCACTTGGTCAGTTTTTCAAAGCACACATATAGTCAGTAGTGTTGTAGAGAATGTAGGTAGTTGTATAAAGTTTGCAACCAGCTTTCTTTCATGCATCTAGTAGTTCAACATAAAAATAACCATTTCTGAAAGCTGTTGCTTCAGTCATTCTCATATATATATATATATATGACTCCTGCACCTTTAGACCAGAGAACCGCTTGTACTTACCCACAAAATTTTGGGCTCAGGCAACCAGCTGGTGTGGTTTAGGTATCTGGGGAGGGATTTTTACTCATCAGTGACTCTGAAGGACAGCACAGGCTGTCCAAAACCCCTTTCTTCTTTTTTGTTTTCTGATCTCTTCTGGCTTGAAAGATGAAAAGCTTGGTTTTTAATCTGATAAAGTAAGGCTAGAGCAGAGAATATAAATAGTTATTGGTGGTTGTGGGTCTTAAACTCTGAGCCTGGACACTGTCCCTGAGCTCCTCAGCTCAAGGCTAGCACTCTACCACTTGAGCCATAGTGCTACTTCCAGTTCTCTGGTGGTTAATTGAAGATAACAGTCTCAGGGACTTTCCTTCCTGTGCTGGCTTTGAACTGTGATCCTCAGATCTCAGCCTCCTAAGTAGCTAGGATTATAAGCATGAGCCACTGGCATCTGGCTACATATGATTTTTAAAAATGACTTTTCTGCAAAGATTTTATTCTCCCTGGAAAAAAAGTAAAACTTTCATGAAGTTTTTTTTTTTTTTTTTTGCCAGTCCTGGTGCTTAAACTCAGAGTCTGGCCACTGTCCCTGAACTTCTTTTGCTCAAGGCTAGAACTCTACCACTTGAGCCACAGCGCCACTCCCAGCATTTTTGTTTATGTGGTACTGAGGAATCGAACCCAGGGCTTCATGCATGCTAGGTAAGCCTTCTACCACTGAGCCACCTTCCCAGCCTCATGAAGAATTCTTAATTGTGTGTGTTTGCATGTGTGCACACATGTGTGTGTGGGGAAAGGTTAGTGTTGAGAACAGTGCCTTGCACAACCACTTAGCTTCCAATTTTGGGTTTTTGCAATAAACCTTTCTAGTTACTATATTACTGTATAATATGTTACTGTATTTTTCTTTTATACTCTTTTATACTTTTGATAGATAAAATTTACTTTTTCTTCAAGTATTATTTAGGAAACCAAAAAGCCAATTTAGTTTTCTGGTTTAACATAAACAAACTCTAGTGGCATATGAGTTCCCTCAGGTTCTATGTCTACCTGCAAGGTGCTCTCTCTCTCTCTCTCTCTCTCTCTCTCTCTCTCTCTCTCTCTCTCCCCCCCCCTCCCTCCCCTTTCCCCCTTCTCCCTCCTTTTTCCCCTTCCCCCTCCTTCCCCCCCTCCCCCCCTCTGTCTTTCTCTGTCTATCTCTGTCTCTGCCTGTCTGTCTCTTTCTCTCATCATGGGGCTTAAACTCAGGGCCTGAGTGCTGTCTCTGAACTTTCTCCGCAAGGCTTCGTACTCTACCACTTGGAGCCACAGTGCCACTCCCAGTCTTCTGATGATTAATTGAAGACAGGAGTCTTATGGACTTTCCTGCCTAGGCAGGCTTTAGCTTTGAACTGAGATCTGAGGATTGAGATCTAAATCTGAGTAGCTAGGATTATAGGCATGAGCCACGGTCACCTAGCTTTCTTCTTTCTTAATGGAAAAGGAATTCTGCATTTCCTACTCTACCCTGAGCATACCTTAATCCTTTTTAAAAAATACCTATCACATCATCTCTTGTCTTTACCAGCTATTTCTGGATTTAAAGTTTTTCGCTCACTGTTTCTAATGACTCTTGTTTTAATATAGAAATAGTAGACACTGAGTGCTTGGTGGTTTCCTCTGTAATCCTAGCTACTCAGGAAGCTAAGCTCTGAGCATCTCTGTTGGAAGTTCATTCAAAGCCATACCAGGCAGGAAAATCTGTAAGACTTGTACCTCAGTTAACCACTAGAAAACCAAAGTGGTGCTGTGGCTCAAAGTGGTAGAGCACTGGCTTTGAGCAAAAAGAGCCCAGGGACTGGCCCAGGCCCAATAACCCCCGGGGGAGGGGGGAAGGGAGAATGTGGAGAAGGAAACATAAGAAATTCTCAAAATGAAACTAAATCAAAACTACAAAAGAATAGAAGAATAAAAAGCTTCATTAAATGTGTTCCCACCTCCTTAAAATCATATGTCAACCCACACGTCTTGTCCTTTCTCTTTTCTTCACGGCCAAAGTTACTGAAAACTCCTAACTACCTGATTCTCCTGCTCAAGTTTCTCCAGCCTGTCCCTTCTTCAACTGTCCCTGCAATGAGAATTTCTGTAATCTTCCATTTGTATCCTGCAGGTCTTCTTGGGTAATAACTTTAGTTATTTCCTTCAGGCTGTTGGCTCCTTGAACTCTTTTCCAGAGTTCCAGATGCATATGTTTGATTCCTTACTGTCAGATTCTGTTCTGTTCCCACTGGCCTCTGCATTTTCCTCTCCTGCTTCACCCTAGTACTGGAGGATCCCATGGCAGCACCTTGTGCTTCCTTGACTTTCTGTCTTTGTTTGTATCTCTTGGCCCAGCCCCAGAACTCTGTGCTGAAGCCCCAGGCCTTCCTCTTTGACTAACTGCCACATCCTTCTAAGGTGTTTCTGTTCAGGTACTACTGCTTCCCGAAGATCTTCTCTAACACCCACCACTCTAGTTCTCCATCCCAACTCAGGATTAGGTGCCCCGTCTTCTAGAATATCATGTATACAATATTTTCAAACATCATTATGTTGCGTTTAGATTTATTTGCATGTTTTCCTTACTAAATTGTGATCTTCTTTATATCTTTATCCTTGGTGAAATGTTAAAAGTAAGAGCTTCGTTTAACTCAGAGAATAATATATATTCACATATATTATGTAATAAATAAATACCTATATAAATATAAATATATTTCTATATATTATATAGACTTAGGTATATGCGTGTATATGAATGTCTATTTCTCATCAGGCCCTTTAAAATTTATTCAGATTACACTTTTAAAAAAGTTACTGTAACTCATATTCACATCACTTAAGTATATTAATCTTAAATAGATATATTTATATATGTATTTATTACTGGATCTAGGGTCTGGGTACTGTCCCTTAGCTTTTTCACTCAAGGATAGTGCTCTACCACTTGAACCACAGCTCTACTTCCAGCTTTTTTGCTGGTTAACTGGACATAAAAGTGTCATGAACTTTCCCTACCCTGGCTACAAACCATGATTCTCAAATCAGCCTCCTGAGGAACTAGAATTATAGACATGAACTGCTGATGCCCAAAAGGAATTAGAAGTATATTTCAGGGATAAACTGTGCTTAAGAAAGTGCCGTTTTTGATTATCAGAATATAAAATATTAAGTCCACTACTTTGCTTTAGTGTAACAATTTTTTAACCTAGTAGCCTGATGGATTTATTCAACCCTCAAGTACCCAAATTACCTGCAGCAAATAGTTTAGTTACTGAGAAGGATCTGGCCCATTATCTCATTAATCTTCAAGACATTCCTGCAAAGTAGTTTGGAGAGCAAATGGTATTATCTTTTCATCACAGCTGGTCCACACATATGTTGTGTTTTGACATTGTATAGTTTCAG